ATACTGGGAATTTTAATAACGCTTGTAACGTTAGCTGTGTAAAAACATGAGTTTTTCAACGCTTTTTAGCGTTTTTGTATTAACATTTAGCTGCGTTTTTCCGCATTTTTAGAGGTTTTTTTTGTAAAAAAAGTCCAAAATACTGGTTTGCTGCGTTTTTTCAGCGTTAGAATGTTTTTACAGATAAAAAACTTCTCTAGAAACCCACTAGTTCTGGGTTTTTTTCCATCCAAAAAATGTTGATTAGAGTCAGTGTGTGCATTGACATATATGATAACATACTGGGGAGTTTACTGGCTGTAGAAAAAAAACGTCAAAAGCCAAAAACATCTGTAAAAACGTCTAGTGTGCATGAGGACTTAAGGTTTCAGTAAAACCAACAGCTGAATTTTGCAATGGGCATTCATTTTTGAATGGCAGTCACTGCTGTTTGTGTAAACTGTTGTTGCTTAGACCATGAACTGTTGAACAGCTGACAAATCATCTACTCTAGACAGATGTTCCCTTGTATGGTAGCCAATGAAAATGTTGTCTGTTGATTTGAAGTTTGCACTATTAATGTGGTCAAATGTAATCAGTCTATCATCTTCAAGTGAAACCAACAGGCCTGATACAGTAGCCCATATAACCTTTAGGCAGTTGTTAGTACATAACCATATAAGGAAAAGAAAGCCTGAAAAAAGAAAACTAATGCAGCCACCAACATCATACCAAGGACTGGTAAGTTGCAGTATATTGATTATCTGCTTTTGGGTTTATATACATTTTCAGTGGTTTTCATCATGAGGCTCCGTACACCTGTTAAAGCCTATTACCCCTTTTGGCACCCATATATTTGTGGTTGCATGAAAATAGGGCTTTCTGGTACATTTTTAACATTTTAAAATGTCCTCCAATATTTCAGATATGAGTATGCCCCACTGTTCTCCTATAATGGAGCACTACAGAGACGAACTATGAATAAAGTGTTGTGCAACATAGGGCAGCACAGTGGCTAAATGGTTAGCACTTCCGTACTAGGGTAGTACTAGGGTCGTTTGTTCAAATCCCAACCATGGTATCACCTGCTTGGAGTTTGCATGTTCTCCCTGTGCCTGCATAGGTTTCCTCCCACACTCCAAAGACATGCTGGTAAGTTAATTAGCTCCAGTCTAAATTGGCCCTAGTATGTGTATGTATGAATGTAAGTTAGGGATCTTAGATTGTACGCCCCTTGAGGGTTAGGGACTGATGTGAATGCGCAATATATATTACTGCGTAAATTGACGGCGCTATATAAGTACCTATAATAATAAATAAATAAATAAATAATAACCACTTGTAGCTACCGCAAAATAGATTTACTGTGGCAGAGCAGCACATGCAGGCCCAGTCACGTATATATACCTGATTGAGGCTGCACCTGTTTAGGGGTGCCCAGTGCGCTCCTCCTGTAAGCGCCATGTCCACCGGACACAGCGGATCACTGTTACCGGTAATCGGTAACCAAGTATCATTTGATCGCTGTTATTGGTTATAGTTATAGTGGTCACATAATAACAATGTAAACAACCAGTCATGAATGGGATTTATTCATGAAAAGCTTGCTTACTATTGTGATCTGTAATTGGCCCAAAGCAATCATGTGGTTTCGGGCTGCCTGTACCATGTGATTAGCTTAGTCAATCACAGATCCCAATCCAAATGAAGCGGTTCATCAATGGTTAACCCATTAATGAAAGCTAAAGCTATTGTTTGTACAGTGAGCTTCACAGTATAAGTAATAACAGTGTGAAGAAAAAATCCCTGATTCCCCCCCCTCCCCCTTTCAGAGTGGTATAGTGTTTTTATGGTGACTCTGAGCTACTCTAATGACAGAGTGAACAAAAATTTAAAAAACAAAAAGATTTAAAATGTATTTAAAAAAAAAATATTTTTTTTTTACATACTGTCACTAGTCAGTATACTTGATCACTACCACTCCAGTCATATGATGATGCTGTATTGCGCTGGTGTAGTATGTAAAAGTAAAATGAAAGAAAACAATTTGTTTTAATTTCTTAATTTTCAAAAAAATGACAAAAAAATTACAACATCATAAAACTCACCATGCCTCTTACTAAATACCTCAATGTTATAGGAGGTTATTTGGATTTCGATGCCCTTTTTAGAGCAAAAAGAAAGTAGAAAATATTTAATTTTTTTCAGAAAGTAGAAATCACAATGTTCAATCTTTTTCATTTATACAATGAAAAAAAAACAACAGTGGTGATAAAATGCCACCAAAAGAAAACTCTATTTGTATGAAAATAATTATATAAATTTCATTTTGGTACAGTGCTGCATGCCCTTGCAATTTCCAATTAAAGTAGCACAGCGCCTAATAGCAAAATAATGGCCTGGTCTCGAAGGGGGTAAAGCCGTCAAGAGCTCAAGTGGTTAAAGTATATCAGGTACCATAGGAGAATTGTGCTGGAAAATGTTATTGAATTGGTTGAAAAGTGACAGAACTACTTAACTACATGCCGCCCAGCCACTGTACATATACGGCGCCAGGGCGGCACTCGCAGGCAAAACCACATTTTAAAACGTGTGTTTTGTAAACAAATAGGGGGCGGTGCGCGAGGCGCGCGCCGCCGCCCTATCTGTCCCGCGGATCACCACCACCGCAGATGTCAGTTGCAGGGTCACAGCCGCTCCTTAGGGGCTATGTCCCGGCGATTGGCGGCAAACAGTGACAGAGAGCACAGCTGCTGTAGCTGTGCTGTCTGTCACTTCCCTGTCAGCTCGAGGATGAGCTGATCGAGAAATAACAGTTTCTCTTTCTCGATCAGCCTTGTCCCGTCCAGAACACACCCCCCGCCCCCTAGTAAAACACTCCTGTAACCCTTCCCTGCAAAATAAAGTTAACCCCTTCCTCCCCATTGCCATTAGTACAGTGTCAGTTTTTTTTTTTTTTGCACTGATCACTGTATTAGTGTTTTTGGGGATGTCAGTGACCCCAAGTCAGTACCCCCCAATGTCAGAATGTCTGCCGCAGTCCCGCCATAAGTCGCTGGTCGCTGCCATAAGTCTCTGATCGCCGCCAAAATTCGCTGAACGCCGCCATTATTAGTATAAAAAAAACCCTAAAAATCCCAGTATCTTTCCCGCCATTTGTAAACGCTATAACTTTCACGTAAACCAATTAATTTACATGTATTGGGGTTTTTTTTTAGCAAAGACGTCGCAGAATGCATTTTGGCAGAAATTTATGACTAAATTTGATTTTTGCATTTTTTTTTTTCACTGGACATGTTTTTATAGCAAAAAGTCCAAAATATTGTTTTTTTTTTCCTCAAAATTGTCAGCCTTTTTTTTTTTATAGCGCAAAAAATAAAAACCACATAGCGATCAAATACCACCGAAAGAAAGCTCAATTTGTGGGGAAAAAAAGGATGTAAATTTCCTTTATGTACCATTATTGCATGACCGCGCAATTGTCCGTTAAACTAGCGCAGCGCTGTATAGCAGAAAAATGGCGTAAATTGCAGTATTTATACCATAGTTTGTAGACGCTATAACTTCCACACAAAGCAATCAATATACACTTATTGGGATTTTTTTTACAAAAAACATGTAGCAGAATACATTTTGGCCTAAATTTATAACCAACTTTGAGTTTACTATATATTTTTTTATAGCTGAAAGTAAAAAATATTGTTTTTCTTCAAAATTTTTGGCCTTTTTTGGCTTTGGTTTATAGCGTGAAAAATAAAAAGCGCACAGGTGATCAAATTACACTGAAAGAAAGCTCTATTTGTGTGAAAAAAAGGACGTAAATTTTGTTTGGGTGCAGCATTGCACGACCGCGCGCAATTATCAGTTGAATTAGTGCAGCGCCGAGTAGCAAAAAGAGGCCTGGTCATTAAGGGGGGTAAATCCTCTGGAGCTCAAGTGGTTAAAGAAACAGAAAGTAGCATTTAGTTATAGGGTCCCCTAGCTTGATACTTATTCTGTCCACAGTTACCAAGCAGTCTGCATCATGACTTGAATGAAAATAAATTAACAGGGCATCATATTGATTCAGAATGTAGTTGACACATTCAAGCATAGAAAGCTAGAACAAAGCCATAAAATCCTTAGGCTGGCCATACATTATACAATTATCTGCAGATTTTCTGCCCAATTTCCTTTAGATTTACCTTCAACTATGTAGTGCAAGGGCCTGCCTAATTGGATACAACTGAAAGTGTTGTTTAGGTTTGTCCTCCTATTATATGGTTTTTGGTAAATCTAAACCAAAAATCTGCAGATAATTGTATAATGTATGGCCAGCCTAAGTCAATCTGCCTGTACAAATTTCTGAAATGCGTGATACATGATCGTTTGCAATTACAGTATGTACAAAGTGGTTATGTATGTCTGTGCAAAGCTACTCAATGATTTAGACATACCGTATTTGCCGGCGTATAAGACAACTTTTTACCCCTTAAAAATCTTCTCAAAAGTCGGGGGTCGTCTTATACGCCGGTATACGGCATACTGACACTTTTTAGGGGGGCGGCGCGTTGCCGCCGCCGCCCCCCCCCCCTTCCCCAATGGAAGGGACACTAAGTACAGGGGTGGGCAGCGGCTGTTTCTTACCTGGTTCCGGTCCCACGACGATCCGGTCCAGGAAGCGCGGCTGCGCCTTCAGTTCAGTCACTGGATGTTCGTGCGGCTGCTCGGCTCCGCCTCCTCACCAGTGATTGGCCGCCAGAACTGTAGCTCAGGAAAGGCACACAGGCGGCCAATCACCGGCGAGGGGGGGTGGAGCCGAGCAGCCCCCGCGAAAATTGACTGCAGGACCAGCAGGTAAGTGGTCAGTGTAGAGGTGCTGCTGCAACCACATATGCTGGCTGCAGCAGCACCATACGAGAACAGGGTCAGCAAGTGTCAGTGGGAGGAATAGTGCCCCCCCCATCATTGGTGTCACTGATACCAATGATGGAGCACTATTCCTCCCACTGATACCAATGATGGGGCACTATTCCTCCCACTGACACCAACGATGGGGCACTATTCCTCCCACTGACACCAACGATGGGGCACTATTCCTCCCCCCCACTGACACCAATGATGGGGCACTATTCCTCCCCCCCACTGACACCAACGATGGGGCACTATTCCTCCCCCCACTGACATCAACGATGGGGCACTATTCCCCCCCCCCCCACTGACACCAATAATGGGGCACTATTCCACCCCCCACTGACACCAATGATGGGACACCATTCCTCCCACTGACACCAATGTTGGGACACCATTCCTCCCACTGACACCAATGATGGGGCACTATTCCCCCCACTGATACCAATGATGGGGCACTATTCCCCCCACTGATACTAATGATGGGGCACTATTCCTGCCACTGATACCAATGATGGGGCACTATTCCCCCCACTGATACTAATGATGGGGCACTATTCCTGCCACTAATGCCAATGATGGGGCACTATTCCTGCCACTGACACAATGATGGGGCACTATTGCTGCCACTGATACCAATGATGGGGCACTATTCCTGCCACTGGTGTGCATTGGAAGAGGGGTAGTCTTATACGGCGAGTATAGCTCAAACACTAAATTTTAGCAGGAAAAGTAGGGGGGGCGTCTTATACGCCCAGTCGTCTTATACGCCGGCAAATACGGTAGCTTTACAGACATGTGCAGCACCCAAGGCAGCAATATGGCATGTACAATGAATGTGAAAACAAAAGGCTGTTCTGCTTTGAAGCGGGATAGTACTGAGTTTCTTGGACTAACCATTACACTTTCACCATCTGTATCAAGTACCATGCCATTTCTTTCAGGAGAATACCATCTTCCAGAAAACATTGTTTAATCTGCTCAAAAACAGCATCATCAATAGCTTAAGTTCTACCAACAAGGTGGTAGAACTGATAGTGGGTATTACCAGCATCTTCATCAAAATAAATGACCACCATGGCTAATTGGTTGTTGATATGTCTATAGCAGGCATGTCCAAAGTCCGGCCATTTACGGCCCGGGGGTCGGTTTAATACGGCCCTCCAACAGCCCTCCCTGCTCTGTGTAATGTGGCCCTCCCACGGCCTTCCCTTCTATGGCAGACAGTCTTCTGCTTGAGAGCAGAGGGCAGCACGCATGCCTGACTGCGGCGCGTTCTCCCTGGTCTGTGTAAATGCGGCTGTCGCACGGCCCTCCCTTCTGTGGCAGACAGTCTTCTGCTTGAGAGCAGCAGTGCGCATGCGTGACTGCGCCGCGCTGGGAGCGACAGAGGGCGGTGACGTCGGGGCCGGGCTTCCAGCGTGAAATGTGTTTCTCTTCCCCTCCCGGCTGCCGAGCAGAGACTTCAGCTCCAGCTACCTTTTTCACCCTTCACATTAGTGCAGGTAAGTTTTTTTTAAATTTATTTTCAATACATTGTGAAAACTCAGCTGTCAGTTGATCTTAATGTTATGAAATGAAAAGTATGTCGTTTGCAATTAACTTGGCATAAAATAATTTATTTGCATTTAATTGTAATGGTTCAAAGAATGTTCGGAAAAAATGTTCGGCCCTCCACCATGTTCACTTCATCCAATCTGGCCCTCTTTGAAAAAAGTTTGGACACCCCTGGTCTATAGTTTCAGCAATCTGTAATGAAAAGTGACAATAGGCATGTATTTTGGCACAGCATTTCTTTATTGTACTTGGCAATGACGTTTATGATTATCATAGACCCTTTGGTACGCTTACAATTGAGGGATTTTGCCATTTTGGAGTCCAGAAACAGTCAGCTATGCAATTGGTAAGAAAAACTAACAAAAGTAGTGGCAAATGTTTGTCTGCAATAAAATTAACTATTTTATACTCCGTTAACCACCTCAATATTGTACACTTTCACCTCCTTCCTGCCCAGGCCACTTTTCACCTTGCAGTGCTCTCGCACTTTGAATGACAGTTATTTAGGCATACAACACTACGCAAATGCCGTTTTTATCAATTTGTTTTAGATAAATAGAGCTTTCTTTTGGTGGTTTTTAATCACCACTGGGTTTCTACTTTTTGCTATATAAATGAAAAATAACCAAATATTTTAAAAATGTTTTTTAGTTTCTATTATACAGTTTTGCAAATAAATACTTGTTCTTCATAAATTTAGACCACAATTTAATCTGCTACATTTCTTTGGCAGAAATAACAAAAATCAGTGTATTTACTCTAAGGGAAAGTTATACAGTCTACAAGCTATTGTACATACAGTATCTCACAGAAGTGAGTACACCCCTCACATTTTTGTAAATATTTTATTATATCTTTTCATGTGACAACACTGAGGAAATGACACTTTGCTACAATGTAAAGTAGTGAGTGTACAGCTTGTATAACAGTGTAAATTTGCTGTCCCCTCAAAAGAACTCAACACACAGTCATTAATTTCTAAACCGCAGCAAAAGTGAGTACACCCCTAAGTGAAAATGTCCAAATTGGGCCCAAAGTGTCAATATTTTGTGTGGCCACCATTATTTTCCAACACTGCCTTAACCCTCATGGGCATGGAGTTCACCAGAGCTTCACAGGTTGCCACTGGAGTCCTCTTCCACTCCTCCATGATGACATCACAGAGCTGGTGGATGTTAGAGACCTTGCACTCCTCCACCTTCCGTTTGAGAATGTCCCACAGATGCTCAGTAGGATTTAGGTCTGGAGACATGCTTGGCCAGTGCATCACCTTTACCTTCAGCTTCTTTAGCAAGGCAGTGTTTGTCTTGGAGGTGTGTTTGGGGTTGTTATCATGTTGGAATACTGCTATGCGGCCTAGTCCTTGAAGGGAGGGGATCATGCTCTGCTTCAATGTGTCACAATACATGTTGGCATTCATGGTTCCCTCAATGAACTGTAGCTTCCCAGTGCCGGCAGCACTCATGCATACCCAGACCATGACACTCCCACCACCATACTTGACTGTAGGCAAAACGCACTTGTCTTTGTACTCCTCACCTGGTTGCCACCACACACACTTGACACCATCTGAACCAAATAAGTTTATCTTGGTCTCATCAGACCACAGGACATGTAATCCAGTAATCAATGTCCTTAGTCTGCTTGTCTTCAGCAGACTTTTTTGAGCATCATCTTTAGAAGAGGCTTCCTTCTGTGACGACAGTCATGCAGACCAATTTGATGTAGTGGACGGTATTTGGTCTGAGTACTGACAGGCTGACCCCCCACCCCTTAAACCTCTGCAGCAAGGCTGGCAGCACTCATAAGTCTATTTCCCAAAGACAACCCCTGGATATCACGCTGAGCACATGCACTCAACTTCTTTGGTCTGTTCTGAGTGGAACCTGTCCTGTTAAACCACTGTATGGTCTTGGCCACCGTGCTGCAGCTCAGTTTCAGGGTCTTGGCAATCTTCTTATAGCCTAGGCCATCTTTATGTAGAGCAACAATTCTTTTTTTCACATCCTCAGAGAGTTCTTTGCCACGAGGTGCCATGTTGAACTTCCAGTGACCAGTATGAGAGTGAGAGCGATAACACCAAATTTAACACACCTGCTCCCCATGCACACCTGAGACCTTGTAACACTAATGAGTCACATGACAGGGAAAATGGCTAATTGGGCCCAATTTGGACATTTACACTTAGGGGTGTACTCACTTTTGTTGCCAGCGATTTAGACATTAATGGCTGTGTGTTGAGTTATTTTGAGGGGACAGCAAATGTACACTGTTATACAAGCTGTACACTCATTACATTGTAGCAAAGTGTCATTTCTTCAGTGTTGTCACATGAAAAGATATAATAAAATATTTACAAAAAATGTGAGGGGTGTACTCACTTCTGTGAGATACTACTGTATGTATGAAAATTGATCAATCCTAATGTACTGATGGCCTATCTCATTTCCTGAGGCCCTAAAATGCCAGGACAGTACAAACACCCCCCAAATCACCCCTTTCTGGAAAGTAGGCATCCAGGGGGACTTCGTAAGAGTCATGGTGAGTTTTCTGAAATTGTAATGTTTTCCCATAATTGTTTGGAAAATGAAAAAATTAAATAAAATTTGTTTTTTTTTCCCACAAAATTGTCATTTTAACTTTTTCTCACACGTGGCATAGGCATACTTGCAATTACATCCCCAAAACACATTCTGCTACTCCTTCCAAGTAATGGGATACCACATTTATGATATGTTTTTCACAGCCTAGCCATATTGAGGGGCCCACAATCCAAGAAGCACATTTGGGCTTTCAAGGAGCATAAACTATGCATCTAATTTCCTGACCACCTATCACACTTTTGAATGCCCTGGAGCACCATTAGGACACTACTGCAGATGCTGATGTGCAATGGTACACTATGAGAAATGTTTTTGTGCACTGGTACACTGACAGATGTTAATGGGACACTGGTACAGATGTTGATGTGCACTTGGACACTGACAGATGGTGCTTGGTGCACTGGTGACAGATGGCTGCTCTGTAAGGGATCTGTGTATAACTGCACAGTAAAATCAGCAGCTACACACAGATCCTTGACAGGCTGCAATGATCCGCTCTCCCACCCTCACTGAGCTCTCAAAAGGAGAGCAAATGCAGGGGCACATGCCTCATCTGTGATGTGCTGTGTATGAGAGACACAGCCCATCACAGGATCGCACTGCTGCATGGCCCCTGAGGCCATGCACGAGTGCAAGGAGTGAGAGGACATACCGTACATTCAGTACCCATATGTTTAGAACAGCGCTTGTCCCACTTGCCATTTATGCATAGTGGCCGGGTAGGAAGCAGTTAAACAAGATTTTATTTTATGAATGAACACTGCTGAATCTGTGTTTTTCTTTAGCAAACTGAATATTTCCACAGTTGGCCTGCCTAGCTGCAGCAATAAAAAAAAAAATAATGATTGTGTGCTGCCAAATCATGTCCCGTGTAGAAAAAATATTAGTATAAAGTGTTGCAATGCTGAAATGTCAATAAGCATGCATTACCAAATCTATCAATATAAGATCATCCAAAGTTATACCACTCTAGCAATAGCATGAATAGTTTAACAGAAAGAGTATATAGCCTCTTATGAGTGCAAAATAAACAGTTCCACAAATTCTCTTCCACTTCAACATAAGTGATCAAAGTGTCCTCCTGCTGGTGAGTAAACCTCCTATCCCATGCTGTAAACCTTCTCATTTAATAATGTGCATAACCACAAATGGGATTCTAGGTGGACCCTCACATTCATATAT